ATCTATGAATATAAGTGCATGGGGCAGAATACAGCCATACAGATATCACATTTTAAGCTGAGTGCTCTTCCTCAGGCAGCTCTGAAGGAGAATAGAGAAGGAAGGGAAGGGAAGGGAAGGGAATATAGGCTGACACATTCAAGAAATATTTCAAGTGTACTGTTTGCGTGAGTGAGTTGCATGAGAATAGCATTTGAACCATTCTTTAAGGAAAGCTCTGCCTTTGTTTTAAAACAAAAAAGAGGTAGGGGGTTTGATAGTCCTATGGTTATACAGGGTTTCCCCAAGGACATTCGCTAGTGGAGGTGGTAAACGTTTGTTTAATAAGCCTAGCACTATATTTCATGAAATAACTTCCTCTGATGTTAGCGGACACGCTCTTTATTTAAGCAAAGGTGCCTCCACTATAAAACAATGTGGGAAACCATGTGTTTTTTACACCCATGCATACCTTTATTTAAATAATGTTTTAGCCAGTGAGAGCTAGAGAGATGAAAAGCAGGGGAGAGAGGGCCCATGACATGCAGCAAAGAGCCAGGGATGTAATGGAACCTGGTCTGCTCATTGAAAAAAAGAAGTCTTGTTTGTGAAAAATTTGTCTTATTTAAAAAATAATAACAATAATCTTGTCAAACCTGTTTTGCATCAAGAAAGTAATCTGGTTTTAAGAAAATACGTCTAACTTTACTCGATATTACAGCTCATATTGAGCTAGATTGAAACAGTTAATGGTTAAGTGGTTTGCATAATATCCCAGCAGAGGAACAAGATTGTTTTTCTTATTTTAAGAGTAAGACCATTGGCACAATGTCTCAGTTTAAGAGAAAGTAGTCTTGTCCCAGTGTTGAAAATTAAACAGCTGTTTAATTTTTCATTGTTTTAATAAAAAATGGTAGAAATAGGAATGGGGCCTTAATTTAAGACAAAGTTACTTATTTGTATTATGCTGTTTGTATAAATTGTGTCTTATTGAAAGAATAATTATTAATCTTAATCTTTAATCCTAAATTCAGTTCAATAAAGTGACCAAAATACTTATTTTAACAAAGTCTATCTTAAATAACTGAGTTAGTCTAGTTTTAAGGTCCATTACAGTCTTTCAGTGGCTGACACAATTGGCTTGGACACCACAGGCAGACTCTTTTGCTCAATACAAGAAAATGTGATTATACTTAAGAATATCAGATTTTTCTAGAAGGGCTGTTTACGCAGTGCTGCCGTAAGGAGTCAGTCTTGATAAATAAAGTGATCTATGCACAGGGATGGATTGTCGTGTTTTTTTCCCCCCCTAATAATGACCCCTTGGGGCCTCTGCAGGCTCCTGCACGTGGTGCATCTTGTTTATTTATGGCCATCTAAAGCATCAGTTTCACTAACTGAAAACAAGGAGTTTCAAATCTAGAAAACCTTTCCCCATCAGACATGGATATGTCTCTTTCCACTGTTGCACAACAATAACTGGTAGAGAGGAAATAGTTAAAGCTTCTCTGCTGATTCTGAAAATGAGATCAGATCAGTAGTCTGGAAATACATGGGTTGGAAGTGTATTTTTTGAGTGTATATATTGAGTATATATATTTCCTCACCCAGGTAGTAGTTGACAAAGTCTGCTGTGAGGGCGGGCTGCTTGTGTTTCCTGCGTCCATCCATGCTGGCATTGGCATCGGACGTGTCCACAGGGAAAATGTCAGTGCTTATGCCCATCAGCTCCGCCTTCCTCATCAGCTTCCTGATGGCTGAGGCACTAGAGGTCAGAGGTCGCGGCAGCTTCTCCCGGGGCACCCACGCCTGAGGCCGAGTGTTCCTGGACAGCTCTGCTTTCGCCCTGTACTGCTGCAGGCGGGTGGTGATTCGGGCCTGCAAGTGTGACACACGTGTTCACATATGCTTACATTCTAATGTGTGTGGACACCTGAGGATTGCCCCCTATATGTTAGGTGGACGTGTGATTCCAAAACCATGTTCATTAATGTGCTGCTCTAACAGCCTCTTTTTCAGGCTGTAGGGACCTGTTCCCAATAACACATAAGAGCATTGGTGAGGTCCAACACTGATGTTGGCTGATAAGGTCTGGCTTTCATTGCCAACTGTTGAGACAAACTGGAAGCACACTGTTGTCTGTAGCATTAAAGGCCCATTGTGTAGGGTTCAGTGGCATGTAGCACTGATGTCACAGATTAAATTTCAGCTCACATTCCAAGCGTGAGGGAGAAACTACGGTGGCCACGGAAACAAGCGAAAAACACGAACCTGGCAATATAGTGAGTATCACGATCACGTTGCAATTTTCTTTCAATCTAATTTTAGAAAATTGTCACCACTAGATGCATAAAATCTGAGTAAAAAAAAAGTTTACTTTTATAACACTGCTATTGAACAGTTTAGGGTTTAAATACATAAATCGATAGTGGTTTTTGAAAATCGATACAATATTGTGATACAATATTTTTTTACATTTCCTTAGACCCCTAAGAAACCAACTAACTGTGTATTGGAAAGAATTTAGCGATATGATACCACAATACACAGTTTACAATGTATAGCGATTTTCCTAAAAATGAATTTCAGGAAGAGTGGGATCAGAATTTGTATTTATCACAGTAACAGTGCGACCATATTGCATTTGGCCATATTGCCATTTCGATAATATTTCGATTAATTATGTAGCATAAATAATAATAAAAAACTATGTCGACTTCTTGGCCATATCAATATAAGTTCAGGTTCATGCCACACAATGAGCCCTGTCTGTTTTTTTAATTAGCTAATGCGACTAACTATCACACCTTCATATGACCATAACATGGCTCAACTGCACTGTTCACAAAAACTGCACTGAAACGAGGTTCAGTGTGTGAAATAAACCCAACTGATTTAGCTATTTCTATATTTATGTTATTTATACTAACAACATCTAAAGTTAACTGAAAGTTATCATTTATAGCATGATCACTGTAAAACCTTGGGAATTCTGTGGGTTTCAAGTTTAACCACCGGTCTCTTCTTCTGTGGTTTTCTCCCCTGCCACAGTCCTTTTAATAGCTGAGATCCAGAAACAACTATAATGTTTGCTGAAAGGAATAAGCTATAATTTAACTCTGGGTTTGGTTACGTCCTCTATTCGTGCAGTTTTTGTGTGTTTGCTGTAGTGGCAGAAAGTTTCTTAGATAAGACTACCTCTCAGGAAACTAGCTACCTCAGCAGTCAGCACTAATGCATCCAACATGGGGACTGTGAGAGGCTGTGATGTCATCTTTCATAAACCAAAATGGGACTGGGTACTGACATTTAGGGGTGCACGATAATTATATAACAGGAAATTATTACGTCATACCTATAAGTCCGATATCATGACGAATAGCCC